AACCCTCGACCTCCCGCACAACACAATCCGGCGCTCTAACCAATTGAGCTAACCGGGAGGCGGTTTCCACCCAAATGAGGCCCTCCCCTCTATCCTATCCCCAAAAAACGAAGCCCATAACATATTTCTCTCAATATTACCTTTAACTTTCAAAGTAAAGAAAGCCACGGTGCTAGCAGGATAATAGGTAACTTTTCAAGCGAACAAAATTTAATCAGCTAGATTTATTTTCTTCTATCTTATGGATATTAGAAGCTTACACAATTCTATTCATTACTCTAAACTACAAAGAATCACTATTTAGGTTCTTGATAATTCAACGGTATTATTTTTAACGAGTTCTAGTAAAAACAGACTTGAAAACATTTTCCCCCGACGAGAAAAAATAAATGTCCTGAGACATTATGGTTATCTGCTATGGCAATAACATACGATCCTATGACTTTGGCAAACTATAAGATATTGAGAACTCTTTGAGAGGTCTGGGTCAGCTTATGAGGTAATTTCGTTTGTGTCTGTTTTATGAAAAGGCTTTACTTCAAATTGATAGAGCAGCCATTTTTCTTTAACATAATTAACACGACCATTTAGAATCAAATTAAGGATAACCTTCAAGAATATTAGAAACGCTCACATTGATACAAACTTATTTATGCTGTTCGTTACCTAATGAACCTTTTCATGAAAACGCCTTGTCACCACAGTATAATATATCTGGTGAAAAGTTTGAAATACAAAAGATTAAGACTAATATAATGTAATAAAGAAATGTTCATTTCTCTTCAGCTCAACATTTAAATCATGTTTTGGAAGATAAGTCAAGTCAGCCTAAATTTAACGTCATTCTATGTGGCAAAGGTGTGCGAGCAGTATAGGTAGCTTAGCTTTGTTTAAATGCATTTTAGTTGCACTGTGAACACTTCATGACAGCCAGGAGCAGTGATCATGTTCCAACAAACCGTTCTCATTCTTCCAAAACTTCTGTGGCCAGTCTGAACGCTTGCTCTGCTTGCCAAAAATCTTGGAAAACCTCAGCAGGCACGTTAGGGGGCGTGTGCGCGTTAGGATATCGAGTGCTCAAGTAATAGTTGGACAGCCTGGCTACTTTCAGTATCACATCTGGAGCTCCAGGAAGCAGTGAAAGACCATGGGCCAATAGAACCAAGTCGTGAGAGTACAACTGCCTGTCCGCAACTCCTGATATAGAGAAAAGAGCTGCTTTGAGAGATTTCTCCGCAATTTGATGACTCTGGAAGCAGACAAGGTAATGAAGTGGATGTTGGGCAGTCAAGAGAAGTTATACTGAGCGCAGGTCTTCTTTGCTCTGACGAATCCACATCTTCGCTACGCATGGATTAGGTGCCTTGTAGGTCCTTCTCGAGGGTGATGCGAAACCTGTAAATCGTGGGTTGTGGTGGCTGTAGTTTTCGTAGCTTGAGCGCTGTCGTCGAGCTCTTTTATTCCATTGCGTGAAGGAGTCCGAAAAATCTGGTGGTGAGCGTCTTGCACAGTCTTCATCGTGGCTTGGCCACTTGCCTTTTGATAACCTTTCGACCTCATTTTTTAAAAACTTTATGACTTCATTTGCAATGTCCTGCATGTCCATGTTTTTGTCTGGATGCCATCGAAGGTATAGTCGCCTAATCGCTTTCTTTCTTTTTTCTTCCGGAAGCTTCCAAATTTCTGCAAGAGCTTCTTTGACTTCTCTTATGGCGGCGTCCAAGTCTCTAGGCTTTGGTGGGTCGTTCGTTTCTTGGGAAGACGTGGACGATTCTGCTTCTTCCTGTTCAGTACTTTGTCTACCAGCTCCTTCGTAAGGAACAAGGTCCATCATTTGTGAAGCGGACTCTCCTACTACTTCGTCTACGTTCTCGTGAACCTTGGGCGGTCTTCTCATCTTGTATAAATCCAATACATCGACATCTTTTTTTTCATGGCCAACGTCTATCATATATCTGCTGTCTAGCTCGGTGCTTTCTTCTCTCGGCTCTCTTATTGTGTTGTCCTCTCTTGGTTTAGTTTTACTTGCGAGCTTGTTCACGATTTTTGCATAGATGTACTTGGGATCATCCTCTGTTGAGTCTTCTTTTTCTAATGCAACAATTTCTCCATTTCGAAAGTAGAAGTCCGCGTACTGAACGAGGAGGTGATGAAACTCTACGGGCACTTCTGTTCCAAGATCAGGGTTCGAACTGTGCGTATCAGCTGCCTCCCCATCCTCGGATACTCCGGCGTAGTCCAATATCAACGAAATGTGTCCAGCGGACTAACATTCTACAATACGACCCAAATCCAACCAGCTTTCGATGTCGATGTAGCATCCTGTCAGTTGGTTTATCTCTCTTCATACTAGCGCGCGAACCTAACGAGGTTGAGCACGATGATTAATGAAAATGTGCTTTCCACCGAGTTCATCCCTATCCACAACACAGTCTATATTTGATCTTTGGCTGCCTGGAATTGGCATATTCGACTTGTTGTCAACAAGCTCAGTGGACAGCTCCGCCATGCAACTGATTCGTAGTTCTTTCTGAAAACTGCGAACTTTGTTTTGGACCGCCTCTGTTAGTTTGGCTTTCTGATAGTGAGTCTTGAATATCCGGATGATGCCATCAACGAGGTGAGTGGAAAACAATATGTCACGGAGACGGTTAGTCTCACGACACGTGTTTTCTACGTCAGCAGAGCACTTCTTGTCCTTGCATTCTGGGTGAAGCTCTTCTCTTAGGAGCACTCTTAAGGATGGGATCTTTAGGTGAGCTGGCAGAAGGTCCGCAATTTGCCGTGGGGTAGCAAACCTTAAATTATATCTCTCGAGTATATCGAGGGGCTCATACATGGCAGTTGGTATACGATGTTGGAACTGAGGACAATCAAACAGAACCAGGTCAACAGATTTAGTGAGCTTTTGCTCTTTCCTTGGAAGGTACAGACGTTCGATCTCAGAGAGGGGATTGGGAGACTCGCCTTCATTGTGATCGTATATGGCTTTTAGAGTAGAAAAGAGGCCGTATACTGCGTGGTTTGCAATATTAGCTTCATTAGGGAGCATTTTCTGGTCTCGGCATGAGGCTTGAAGTCTACATAGTAGTTTTGCCAACTGTACAGGTGTGGCTTCCTATTCAGCTCCTAGGCGTTTGAACAAGTGCTCAAAAGGGCCGTATTCTCTAGGAACTTCATACATATACGGTGCTAGTTGCTCATTAAGCTGGAAAGCTAGTTGATCTCCACGGACAAATACGCGGCCATCTTCAACCAAAATACAAGAGTTGTCACACAATAGATTTCCGATTTCAAGACAGACTTGCGAGCAAGAATCAAGAGAGTCCATTTCCTGGCATTTACTTACATGTTGAAGGAAAGTGTACACCTCAGTCATTATAGCTACCAGAAGGGGACGTTTGGGCTGTGGCATTTCTCTATCAACGTCCTTTAGAAGATTTTTCGTGAGGTTGGTAACGTGACTGATGACTTGATAGAGCGAGGGATTTGGAAGAACTCCTAGGGCTTTAAGCTTTGGCTTTTGAGCACCTGGGACTGCCCAGGATGGTAGAAGGTGTGCAGTCGTCCACGCAAGTCTTTCATGGATGTCTGGTATTGAACCCTGGAAGTGAACAAATGGAATAATTCCATATTGGGCTTCGTTTGAACATGGGAATTGCTTATGAAGAGAAAGAAGACCTTCTGGGGCTTTTGAAGGTGCCACGAACTTTATCATCGATAGTTGTTGTAAATACACCACATCATCAAAAGGTGCTTCATTCAGAAGATGGGTTACGAGAGTTTTGGATTTTTTTTCCAAAATACTGCGGGTTTTCCTTTCCTCTACTTATTGGGCCTCCTAAGCCAACTCCTTTGCAAACGCCATGAACTGCTCTTTTCCAACTTTTTGCTTTAATCCAATTTTTCGAAGGAGATCAAGCCAGCCGGATTCTTCGTTAAACGGCTCTGGAGGCTTTGCTTCGGTGGGTAACATGACTGCAAAAACTTCCACGGGGGGGTCATAAAAATACGAAGAAGTTTGCACTGTGCCATTGATATCTGGAATAAATTCTAAAGTTCTAAGTGACTGTAGGACTCTAGAGTGTTGATACTCATCAGAAAAGGGTGCCAGTAGGAATTGCCGAACATAGTTGAGATGAAGCATTCGAGTTTATTGGGTAAGATCTGGAAACTTTGGGAAAATGAAGTCGATGTAGCAATCGGTATGTGTGCCAGTGCCGATATTCATAACTTCGTTGTACAATTGGTTCAGCCTAGGTTCAGATGCTAAGAAAACACAGTTGTTTTCTCTCATCCAAACATCGCACTCGTTGGTTGGTAACCCCGCCGGTATAACATATACTGATCCAGCATTGGCAAGGCCAACAAGTTTTCCATGAAAAGTCTTGAAAAATGGCAATCGCCTCAAAATGGAAATCGATACCTGATCCTGTTTAAGAGACTCAACATCGTGCTGGAAGAACTGTAGCAAGGAGAGAATTTCATCCTCAGAAAGACAACCAGTGATATCAACCTCGCCAATCATGTGGTCTAGCACCTTGAGAATGTCTTGCGATGAATTGGGGTACGAAAGGTGCTGTTTGAGTATTGGCGACAGATCCCATCTTCCATCATTGCAGAGAAGATCGACATCCACTTCGGGTCATCTTAACTTCCTCAACAATGCAACGACAGTTTTTTGGCCGCATGACCAAGAGTCAGAGGTTGTCAAGTCAAAAATGACTTTACTTTTTGAAATTGGGGCCAATTCCTTCAATTTGGTAGGGATAATGGGCCATTTGTGCAGTGGAGTTAGCGAAAAAGTTTCTGGCTCCTTTTCGTTAGTGATGTACAGAAACTCCCACAAATGCTTGAGCCATTGCTTTGAAGGCCCGTTCTCCATATCCCAGGGAACGAGACTGTTGGTTTCACACCATCGGCCTTTCACAGTACTCGGAAGTAGCGAGGCTAATGCACAGATGTGGAATTTTTTGAGAACTCCTTGATCCCCATTACACATTTCTTTTTGGAATCGAAATAACGGTGTGGCGAGTGCGTGCTGGACGAACCTAGCGCGTTGATTTGGTATCAAATCTGCAAAAAGGCTTAGAAATACTTGYTTATCCCTTTGAAATRGCCTAAGAACATCGTCTTCTGTCAATAGTAAAGGGATTCCAAATATCTGTTTTGGAAAATTAGGGGCTTTCATACAGTACATGAGGAGGAGGAGTACATTATGCACAGAACCAACCGTCGTCTCACTTACAGGGCAGGGTAGTATACCCACGGAATTTGGATTCCCTCCAAGGAAGTTAATAACTCCTTCAGGTGTGATTTCTCTAACATTTGCTCCTGCTGTTTTGAAGTTGCCGAAGATTTTGTTGGAAGAGTAAACAAGTTTGAAGCCAATGTTGAGGAGAACGTTTGAAAGTTCTCTGGCCCATTCATCAATCAAGGACAACGTGTTGAAATATCCTTGAGAAGGAGACACCCAAAAACAACGTATGGCTTCTTTACAGTCAAAATCACTTTTGGTGGCCTGAGCATAATTAGGGGGTTGAATGCTTTCTGCAGCTTCATCAGTTTGGGTAGTCGGTGAATTTTTATCAGGAGGTCTCTTTATCAGCGGCAATAACTTTGCATCATCGTAGCAAATCTTGTTGAAGACAGCTTTTGCTAGATCTCGCCACTGGCTCTGGACATTTTCATAATGCGGAAAGAGATTATGATACCATCGCATTCCCTCATGAACCTTGAATCCTTTGGAGAAGCTAGTGGTGTCCCCGTTTTTGGAGCCAGGAAGATAACCTCGTGCCACCAACATNTTGGGCAGTCAAGAGAAGTTCTACTGAGCGCAGGTCTTCTTTGCTCTGACGAATCCACATCTTCGCTACGCATGGATTAGGTGCCTTGTAGGTCCTTCTCGAGCGTGATGCGAAACCTGTAAATCGTGGGTTGTGGTGGCTGTAGTTTTCGTAGCTTGAGCGCTGTCGTCGAGCTCTTTTATTCCATTGCGTGAAGGAGTCCGAAAAATCTGATGGTTGGCGTCTTGCACAGTCTTCATCGTGGCTTGGCAACTTTCCTTTTGATAACCTTTCGACCTCATTTTGTAAATACTTTATGACTTTATTTGCAATGTCCTGCATGTCCATGTTTTTGTCTGGATGCCATCGAAGGTATAGTCGCCTAATTGCTTTCTTTCTTTTTTCTTCCGGAAGCTTCCAAATTTCTGCAAGAGCTTCTTTGACTTCTCTTATGGCGGCGTCCAAGTCTTTAGGCTTTGGTGGGTCGTTCGTTTCTTGGGAAGACGTGGGCGATTCTGCTTCTTCCTGTTCAGTACTTTGTCTACCAGCTCCTTCGTAAGGAACAAGGTCCATTATTTGTGAAGTGGACTCTCCTACCACTTCGTCGACGTTCTCGTGAACCTTTGGCGGTCTTCTCATCTTGTATAAATCCAATACATCGACCTCTTTTTTTTCATGGCCAACGTCTATAAGATATCTGCTGTCTAGCTCGGTACTTTCTCCTCTCGGCTCTCTTATTGTGTTGTCCTCTTTGGGTTTAGTTTTACTTGTCAGCTTGTTCACGATTTTTGCATAGATGTACTTGGGATCATCCTCTGTTGAGTCTTCTTTTTCGAATGCAACAACTTCTCCATTTCGAAAGTAGAAGTCATCGTACTGAACGAGGAGGTGATGAAACTCTACGGGCACTTCTGTGCCAAGATCAGGGTTCGAACTTTGCGTATCAGCTGCCTCCACATCCTCAGATACTCCGGCGTCGTCCAATATCAAAGAAATGTGTCCAGCGGACTCACATTCTAAAATACGACCCAAATACAACCAGCTTTCACTGTCGATGTAGCATCCTGTCAGTTGGTTTATCTCTCTGCATATTACCACGCGCACGTCACTAGGTTTAGCACAATGATTTATGAAAATGTGCTTTGTACCGAGTTCATCCCTATCCACCACACAATCCCTATTTGATTTCTGGCTCTCTGGAATTGGCATATTTGACTTGTTGTCAACAAGCTCAGTGGACAGCTCCGCCATGCAACTGATTCGTAGTTCTTTCTGAAAACTGCGAACTTTGTTTTGGACCGCCTCTGTTAGTTTGGCTTTCTGATATTGATTCTTTAATATCCGTATGATGCCATCAACGAGGTGAGTGGAAAACAATATGTCACGGAGGCGATTAGTCACATGACATGTCTCTTCTATGTCAGCAGGGCACTTCTTGTCCTTGCATTCTGGGTGAAGCTCTTCTCTTATGAGCACTCGTAAGGATGGAATCTTTAGGTGAGCTGGCAGAAGGTCAGCAATTTGTCGCGGGGTAGCAAACTTTAAATTATATCTCTCGAGTCTATCGAGGGGCTCATACATGGAAGTTGGTATACGATTTTGGAACTGAGGACAATCAAACAGAACCAGGTCGACAGATTTCTTGAGCTTTTGCTCCTCGCTTGGAAGGTACAGACGTTCGATCTCAGAGAGAGGATTGACAGACTCACCTCCATTGCGATCGTGTAGGGCTTTTAGAGTAGAAAAGAGGCCGTATACTGCGTGTTTTGCAATATTAGCTTCATTGGGAAGCATTTTCTTGTCTAGGCATGAGGCTTGAAGTCTACATAGTAGTTTTGCAAACTGTACAGGTGTGGCTTCCTCTTCAGCTCCGAGGCGTTTGAACAAGTGCTCAAAAGGGCCGTATTCTCTCGGAACTTCATACATATACGGTGCTAGTTGCTCAATAAGGTGGAAAGCTAGTTGGTCTCCACGGACAAATACGCGGCCATCTTCAACCAAAATACAAGCATTGTCAGACAATCGATTTCCAATTTCAAGACACACTTGCGAGCAAGAATCAAGAGAGTCCCTTTCCTGGCAGTTACTTACGTGTTGAAGGAAAGTGTACACCTCAGTCATGATAGCTCCCAGAAGGCGACGTTTGGGCTGTGGCATTTCTCTATCAACGTCCTTTAGAAGATTTCTCGTGAGTTTGGTAACGTGACTGATGACTTGATCGAGCGAGGGATTTGGAAGAATTCCGAGGGCTTTAAGCTTTGGCTTTTGAGCACCTGGGACTGCCCAGTATGGTAGAAGGTGTGCAGTCGTCCACGCAAGTCTTTCATGGATGTCTGGTATTGAACCCTGGAAGTGAACAAATGGAATAATTCCATATTGGGCTTCGTTTGAACATGGGAACTGCTTATGAAGAGAAAGTAGGTCTTCTGGGGCTTTTGAAGGTGCCACGAACTTGATCGTCGAGAGTTGTTGTAAATACACTACATCATAAAAAGGTGCTTCATTCAGAAGATGGGTTACGAGAGTTTTAGACTTTTTTTCCAAAATACTGCGGGTTTTCATTTCCTCTACTTGTTGGGCCTCCTCAGCCAATTCCTTTACAAAGTCCATGAACTGCTCTTTGCCAACTTTTTGCTTTAATCCAATTTTTCGAAGGAGATCAAGCCAACCGGATTCTTCGTTAAACGGTTCTGGAGGCTTTGCTTCAGTAGGTAACATGACTGCAAAAACTTCCACGTGTGGGTCATAAAAATACGAAGCAGTTTGCACTGTTCCATTGACATCTGGAATAAATTCTAAAATTGTAAGTGACTGTAGGACTCTAGAGTGTTGATGCTCATCAGAAAAGGGTGTCAGTAGGAATTGCCGAACGTAGTTGAGATGAAGCATTCGAGTTTGTTGGGTAAGATCTGGAAACTTTGGGAAAATGAAGTTGATGTAGCAATCTGTATGTGTGCCAGTCCTGATATTCATAACTTCATTGTACAATTGGTTCAGCCTAGGTTCAGATGCTAAGAAAACACAGTTGTTTTCTCTCATCCAAACATCGCACTCGTTGGTTGGTAGCCCCGCCGGTATAACATATACCGATCCAGCATTGGCAAGACAAACAAGTTTTCCATGAAGAGTCTTAAAAAATGGCAATCGCCTCAAAATGGAAGTCGATACTTGATCCTGTTTAAGAGACTCAACATCGTGCTGGAAGAACTGCAGCAAAGAGAGAATTTCATCCTCAGAAAGACAACCAGTGATATCAACCTCGCCAATCATGTGGTCTAGCACCTTGAGAATGTCTTGCGATGAGTTGGGGTACGAAAGGTGCTGTTTGAGAATTGGCGACAGATCCCATCTTCCACCATTGCTGAGTAGATGGATATCCACTTCGGGGCATCTTAACTTCCTCAACAATGCGACGACAGTTTTTTGGCTGCATGACCAGGAATCAGAGGTTGTCAAGTCAAAAATGACTTTGCCTTTTGAAATTGGGGCTAATTCCTTCAATTTGGTAGGGAGAATGGGCCATTTATGCAGTGGAGTTAGGGAAAAAGTGTCTGGCTCCTTTTCGTTAGTGCTGCACAGAAACTCCCACAAACGCTTTAGCCATTGCTTGGAAGGCCCGTTCTCCAGATCCCATGGAACGAGACTGTTGGTTTCACACCATCTGCCTTTCACAGTACTCGGAAGGAGCGAGGCTAATGCACAGATGTTGAATTTTTTGAGAACTCCTTGATCCCCATCAAATATTTCTTTTTGGAATCGAAGTAACGGTGTGGCGAGTGTGTGCTGGATGAACCTAGCGCGTTGATTTGGTATCAAATCTGCAAAATGGCTTAGAAATACTTGATTATCCCTTTGAAATCGCCTAAGAACATCGTCTTCTGTCAATAGTAAAGGGATTCCAAATATCTGTTTTGGAAAATTAGGGGCTTTCATACAGTACATGAGGAGGAGGAGTACATTATGCACAGAACCAACCGTCGTCTCACTTACAGGGCAGGGTAGTATACCCACGGAATTTGGATTCCCTCCAAGGAAGTTAATAACTCCTTCAGGTGTGATTTCTCTAACATTTGCTCCTGCTGTTTTGAAGTTGCCGAAGATTTTGTTGGAAGAGTAAACAAGTTTGAAGCCAATGTTGAGGAGAACGTTTGAAAGTTCTCTGGCCCATTCATCAATCAAGGACAACGTGTTGAAATATCCTTGAGAAGGAGACACCCAAAAACAACGTATGGCTTCTTTACAGTCAAAATCACTTTTGGTGGCCTGAGCATAATTAGGGGGTTGAATGCTTTCTGCAGCTTCATCAGTTTGGGTAGTCGGTGAATTTTTATCAGGAGGTCTCTTTATCAGCGGCAATAACTTTGCATCATCGTAGCAAATCTTGTTGAAGACAGCTTTTGCTAGATCTCGCCACTGGCTCTGGACATTTTCATAATGCGGAAAGAGATTATGATACCATCGCATTCCCTCATGAACCTCGAATTCTTTGGAGAAGCTAGTGATGTTTCCGTTTTTGGAGCCGGGAAGATAACCTCGTGCCACCAACATCAGCGAGATATAAGCTTGTGCTAGAACTTTGCAGTTTACAAAATGATTCCATTGGCTTGCAAATCCTTCGCCCTTTTCATCGCTCCATAAATTTCGACGGGCGGAATCTAAAAAGAAATGCCCATTTACATGAACTGGAAGTCCTGTGGGAACTGGCAACGGCAGGAAGCAGAAAGCTTTGTGGGTTGGTCCACGTACTACGTGGGAAGGAAATGTTGACTTTTCCCACACTTTGGCTGCTATTCCGGCGCGGGGTAGGAGACCATAGTCTCGACCGTTAGGAATCGCTTCACCATCACTTTTCTGGATTCCAATGCACTGATGAATAAGCCATTTTGCTTGTCGTACTCTGGCTTCTTGAACATAAAGAGGGTACGTGATTCCATACCATTGAATTTCATTTGTAATAAGGAACTTACACTTCTTGATATGATTTGCAAGCTTCAGGCGTTCCGCATCATCTTCTTGTGTTATCTGTACAGAAACTGAGTGTATTTCTTTCAGCTGATCGTCTTTAATTTCAGACAGTGATATTTTCTTAACATGGTTCAAAAAAAGGATAATCTCTCTTGCTTCAAGGGCCAAGTGGTTCATAAAGGCGCTCATTTGTGTGCAGGAGATCCGCTGTTCTGATATCAATGACTCTGTGCACGTACTTTGGAGTCTGAGAGGAAAGCGAAACATAGTTGAGGATTTTAAATCAAATATGTCTTCCAGGTAACAAGGAAATACGTCCCTGAAATCGGATCGTTCTTCTTCACCAATTGGTTCTATGAGACGTCCAGGATTCTCCTTGTCTGCTCCGGGAGCGTAGCGACAGTGAGGGTCGAGAATGCAGAGCGTGTCTCCATTCGAGATGAAGCTTGGACAGTCTGTTAAGTGGTATACGGCGTTGAAGCCAATACCATACTGTCCTGTCTTGGTAGGATCGTCTGTTTTGCTTCCAATTCCCAGTCTTTGTATCCCCTCTACATCCTTTTCGGAAAACGGTCTGTTGTTGTAAACACACAGGGCAGGACCTTGCAATTCTTTCCAGTTGTTACTTAAGAGCTGCTCGGTGTTGTGGTAGCGAGGGTCAAAAATGAAGTGTACCTCGGTGGCCCCTGCATCATCAGCGTTCTGAACAAGTTCCTTAAGGACTCCAACATCGCACGGATATGCTTTCAAAATTCCCTTTAAACGGTCAGTAAGCTCTTCTCGCTGTCCAAATTCACGTCCGATTGGGCGAGATATTCTGTCTAGTTTCTTTGTACGAATATCAATTGCTCCAAGCCTGTGTGCAAGGTCAATTGACAGGTCTTTGTGAACATATTCGATACCACTCCTAGCAGCCACCCATGGCGCATCATTAATGGCTAACCGCTCAGCTGGCTGTAAACTTAGATTGTGGTCTGGCAGAGGAATCTTTCCTCTTTCTTTCTCAAGTGAGTTCTCTGATGCTCTCGATATCTCCTCGATCAACGCTTTCGAAACTGTAAACTCTGTTTGAGATAGAGGTTCCCCTTTCTTTTCCTCACTGAGCATGTAAAGAGCAGAAATAACGTCTTCAGTAGAGAAGTGCTCTTTGACGCCTGTAGCTTCGAATAGGCTACGATACCTCGAGGCAAGATTCTCTGGCAGTTCGTTCAGGTATGGTTCACCAAATCGCTTCCACTTGAAAGCCAGTCGAGAGGCTGACAGACATTTTCCATGAACCAATACCCATTCCTTTTCACGCAATGTCTGTATAATTCGCTCACCATCTGGTTCCGACAGAATTTCTTGAATGTACTCGTACAGGCAATGGAAGGCTTGTTCCAAACTTACGATCGCATGGGGCGCATGGACCATTGCTTGAATTGTATGCTCCAATTGGTTTAGAACCTCTCGGGCCGATGGTTTACGGGAGTTGAAGCCAAAAAGATCCCGCGTTTTTTTGTTTAGCTTACTGCAGCCATAATTCTCACTTTCATCAAGGATCGGCCTAGAGGACCCTGCGACATATTTGTACCTCTCTTCGTACATTTCTTTCGCTGGAAGCATAACACTGTTCCCATCACCAGTACCTCTCCATGGCATAACATAGTTTGCTGGCTTAGCAAGAGTAGGAAACATACCAATTGCCATCAACCCCTCTCTGGTCAATTCTGAAGGGTGGTCCATTTTCTCAAGGTGGACATTGATATACTTGATAATACGGGCAGATCTCTTTTTTGCATCTTGTTCGGCTCTTTTATAGAGCACCGACACAGACTTTGCTCGCTCAATCAGGGTTTCCCAGTCAAGGATATCTGATAACATTCCCAGGTTTTGAAGCATGAGAAGACGTTCCTTAGTTTGATAACATGACCCAACTGGGAATCTCCTATCGTCTACTGAGAACAGAGTTGCGGCTGCGCCTTTTGGAGATATAAGTTCTTTGGGAAATGCCAAGTTCCCCGCATCTGGTCCACAAGGAATACAACGATTGTTTGAAAGCAAAGATTTATACAGATTGAGAAGCTGATTGCATCGATTGCTAGCATGTCCCCGTAGGCATTCATCTATGAGATGGCAGACAATGGCATCCCTTAGCTCTTTGGGTATCGTAGTGATCTTCGGGAAAAAAACTTCGCGGAGAAACTTTTCTTGTGTCATGGTACGTTGGTTGATAACCTCTATACATCCAGCCTGTTGAAAGCCTTTCCTTGCAAAATGTGGAAGTTGCACTATTTTGTAATCAAGCTTCTCAAGAACTATCTCACTATTCGGAAGCTCCCGTAACTTGAGGTCTTGGTAAATGCATTGGGTCACTGAGAGCCATTTCCCTCCTGTGCATACCAAGGAAAGGTCACAGCTTGCGATTCTACGATAGAAGCTCTTTATGAGGGGTTCCCATACAGATGATTGAAGTTTGTCTGGATTTGGCCAGAGAGAGAAACTATCGTGCGACGAGATTTTTCCTTGTGTTTTCATGACAATCATATCTTCCAAAAGCTGGACATAGGCCTGGGTCAATGCATCCTTCATGAGACTTTGATTCCACCGCACTTCTAGAGGTTGGCGGTCGACATCAGCTGTTGTACTTTCCCAGATTCCTCGGCGGTTTGATGTGACGGCAAAGTAGCCATTAACATGTACTGGAAGCCCCGTTCGAATGCTAAGGGGAAGGAAACAAAATACCTCTCCTGGTACTGCCTCTACGTTTTCAAACTCACTGCCTCCGGTTGAAATTTTTGCTGCCACTCCTGAGGCAGATAAGAGTCCCTGCTTCTTGCCCTCTTCACTTATGGCGAGCTGAAAAGAATTTTCAGTACCAAGACAAGATGTCAGAAGCCAAGACTGGGTTTCTTGACACCTCTGTTCATTCTTACGACAGATGGTGGAACACACAGAGATGAGCTCCGTTAGTTTGGGAGATGGATACCTGTAAACAGGATTGGACTGATTGGTTGACTGTCTTGTCCATGCTGCGCATGACTTAAGGAAGGTACTTTCCGTTACAGAATTTTTAACTGGCGTACATTCTGTATACGCCTTTCTGGAGACTTCAAACAGGAGTCGCGGGTCTTTCGAATCTGTCGCATGTTCATCCAATTCAAGGAAGGACACCTTGTTAACGTTCTGTGAAAACAACAGAAGCGTCGGCGATGATTCTCGGAAAGAGAACATAAGGGACCGTATTTCCTGCTTAGTGTAGACCTTGTCACTGATTTCCCCCCGCTTAGTACGGAACGCGAATCTGAAAAGAGTTCCACGAAAGTAGAACTTATCACAATCGCTGGGTGGAGCAGTGTTACAGCCAAAAAGCCCATTGAAGGGTTCAAACTGGTCAGGAAAACAGATTAAACTGTTCTGATTTACCGCCAGATCTAACTTTATTCCAGGCTTCGAAGCATGTTTTATGTGGGGGCCAAGGTGTGTTGTTTCTGGATCAAAAAAGACAGCATAATTTCTGGTAATGAAACTTGGAACGTCGGTAAAGTGATAAACTGAGCTGAAACCAAGACCAAAGCGACCAATCTTCTCAAGATCTTCCTTTTTCGTGGCACTTGCCAGTCTCGATATATTCTTCAGATCATCATCTGTAAAGGTTGCATTGTTGTATGCTAACAGGGCGGGACCTTGGCATTCTTCCATGCCTGGTGACAAGAGCATTTGATTTGGATGATTACGCCAGTCAAGAACAAACTGGACTTCTGTTGCACCAGCATCATCTGCATTCTGCACTAATTCCTTAAAAACACCAACCCCTTCTTTATATTCGTTCAGAATATTCTTCAGCCTCGTGGTTATTGGCTCATGTGGACCTGTTTGCTCAATACCTAAGGCCTCAGCGCAAGTGACACGAGTGCTGATAGGTGGAACACCCAAAAGGGCAGCGGTTGTGGAAGATATAGCTTCGTGGATCATTGGAAATTCACTCTCGATGAGAAGTTCCGACCCTCCTTTTCTCAACCAATCCGCGTCACAAAAGGTGCATTCCGAACCCGGAACCAACTTTAAGGTGTTATCCCAGGTGTGAATTGGCACCAGAAGAATTTCCCGAAGTTCTGGACCGAGTTTCTTTCCATCTCTAACCATCCAGTGCAGAATCTCATGCGACAGTTTTCGATCAACTGCCACATCTTCTTGATATTCACTACTGTTGTCATGTTTGACCTTTATCATTGTCAAAACATGCAACAAATCGGAATCTTCAAATGTGTGACGAACACCGCATTGTTGGAAGAAAACATTGAGTTGTCGAAATTCTTGAGGAACTATATAAAGGTAAGGCCTTAAGTCGATTCTGCAGCAAGAAGTGAATGCTATCTTAGACGGAGATGAAAATCCATTCCCATGCCAAATCCATTCCGGAAAACTGTTATCCTGACCTATAGCGTAGATAAAGCTCTCACTGGTGGATGCTTCTTGGTAGATCTGCTCTACCATCGCTTGAAAATGATACAAAGCACTCCAATTTATGCCATCCAATCGTACCGAACAAGCAGAACGCAACTGGTTTAGAAGGTGGTGGACAGGTGGGGATTTGTTCCAACCAAAAACAGCCTCTACTGCTTTGGAACAAGGCTTAGAGACTATTGGCGCTGACGCTCCTACAAGAGTAGCTTTGGACTGGCTGAAGATTTCAGATGGTTTTTAGAAATGCGTTGTTCCTGAAAACCAAGGCATTGCACTTGGATAGGAAGAGAGACGACTCTGCTTTCTTGGGACCCATCTCTCGTTCATCAGAGCTTGACCCAAGGACTTGTCAGGTGGGTTTTGGTCAAGGAACTCCAACAAGGCTGATGCTTTACGGGATCCCACATCACTGTTGAAACTCTCTACTGTTTTAGCAACATGTTGAATGTCCTCTCTGTTTGGAATACTCCTCATTCCAAGTCGCCGAAGACGTAGAAGAATTTCATCTGTGACGAAGCTTTCATTTGGAAATTTGTCGTTTTCGCTATCAAAAAGTCGCTCCAAGACGGGTTGGTGTGGATCTAGAACGCAACAGGGAGTAACTAACTTGTTGCTTCTGGTGAGAACAAAGGGCAGTTGTTGAAGGGATGCATGAAATGAGCTGTCTTCCTTGCAAAAAAGGGAATACTGGCAAAGTACCCACCTCATCAATGTAGAGATCTGTTGGTGACTATAGAAATTGCTCCGTATACCAGTAAAGACAATGTTCTTTAAGAAGGTCGTTTGTTTCATCGGTGGGATTCCAAGTCTTTGAATCAGTACATAAGATTCGCTATCTCTCAAGACAATGACTGAGGACGCTCTTGGTATTGGCAAGGATTGGGGAAGTTCGAATCCATATGGTGATACTTCATGAACTTTAAATCCATTTATGACAGCAATGAAGGAGTTTCTATCTGCTGCATCAAAAATAGGAAGGTGATAAAGGAGATTTCTTTCATCATCACTTAAGGACGCGGAAGAGAGAAAACTTCGTAACGCTCGCTTCTCATCTGTGGAACAATGGGTAATCGTTGATACGCATCTGTCTTGACCCAACCTGCATAAGACCTTCATGACGCCTTTAGGATCAGGTGAGGCGACGTATCTCTGTAGGGTGTTGTGATGAATGTAGGATGGAAGACTTTCTACAATAATGCAGCCAATTTTTCCAAGCATAGACAAAATAAGCGGCGGTAAAGAAATACTCCAGTTATGTTTTCTAATAACCAAGCTTGATGAACTCAGCTTTACCATGTTTCGGTTTCCAGCACATGTATGTGGAATGAGCGGGAGTTCTTCAAGCACTGAGAGATCAGGGAGCATTTCCTGAGTCCACTTCCATACTGACTCCAACCAGTGCTCTGATGGATGACCATTCTTGCCTGGGTACCAAGGCACTGATTGATTTCCTCTATACCATTCCGCTGGAAGCATTTCTCGCAGGAGCTGGAGGGTCCTGGTTTGGTTTAACTTAACGAGTTGCAAGGGTTGGATTGTGTTGAAACTGTTAGCATCAGGAGCAACCCTAGACAAATATGTAATGGCTGGAGTTTGAACGTTGTCGTCGAGGAACTTGTTGTCCATGTTGTGGAAAATGGAACGGGGATTACCTGATGAGGAAACATACACAGCAGCGTCTGGCTCACGGCTGTACTGAAGAATTCGGAAATCAATAAAACTTCCATCTGCAAGGGGTAGAAGTTGGACACCATGCATGTCGCCCAGGTTCTTGTCCTCTAGGGAAAATTCAAGTAGTAAAAGCTTCTTATTCCTCGGTACATTGTTTATCTTCCAACCTCCCTGGTTTTTCTTTTTCAGCAGGGCTCTTAAGAATGCGGGGGTGATGCTCTTCGTAGGTACTGGCGTGTATTTATCAATGGCAATCATGACATGACTTGGGACGACTACAACAGCCTCATTTGCTTGGGTCAATGTTTCTAGAACCACACATCTTGTTTCATCGGTTACCTTCCGAAATTGGCTTTTCATTTTGTCAAGGTAAGCGTCACTGAGGTTTTTCCACTGACCATGATTCGCAGGGGTCCAGAAGACGTTTTTTGTTAGTAAAATCGAGAACATAGGCTTCAGCATACACTTCCAGTGTTTCTCAACTTCCTGAATGTTTGGCCAGGAGTTGTACACGAAGTCTGCTCCAACTGAAGAATTACATGATTCTCTAAGACGCAACAACACGTTGGCATAGGCCTTACTTGCAACATGCTTCACCAGTGACACATTCCATTCTGCGGTTGGATCATCCTGACAGTCAAGCCCTGGCCATTTTAGACCACGTCGATTGTCTGTGAGGCCAAAGTAGCCATGCACGTGAACTGGCAAACCGGTCTTCGAGTCAGCGTCTGGTGGAAGCGGTAAAAAGCAGAATATTCTTCCAGTACTTGATGAGAGAGCTTGAGGTTTGGCTGCATTCACTGGTGTAGCACAACCCACCCAAGGCAGAAGACCCAACTGTAATGACAACTGTTTGAGTGTTGAATTTTTAGCATCAACCTGGTGGTACACAAGCCATCTATTTTCCACTGCTCTTTTTCCTTCAGTCACTTCGACGATATGCAAATCTAAAGAAAGACTTACGTTTTCAACTTGCCCGTAACTCAGCCTTCTCAAATCACTGAAAAACTTTCTCTTCTTCTCTCTAGCTTCTTGCCGACAGCTGTCACTTAATCGAACTGTAAAGAGATGTCTTTGAACGCCTCTTTCATCAGTTTTAAACAGAGCAATTTCTTCAATGTTCTTCAGGAAGAGCAGGATGACAGGAGCTTCCTCTTTGAGGGCTTGAAATAATTTTCCAACTTTTTCCTTACTATAAACCTTTTTGGATAAATCTGACGGTGCACTTCGTAACGGAAAACGAAACAAAGTACCATAGTAAAATTGAGTTGAAATGTTGCAGTCCAAGACATTCTCGTACGGCTTGAACTGGTCTTCGTGATCTTCGAGGAGCTCATCCTCAAGGGAAAATTGCTGTCCCGTTTCCCCTCTACCAAAGTGTGTTTCGTGAGGGTCAAGAAATACAATAGAATCCCCACTCACGATGCTGGGAAGATCTAAATAATGTAATTTGAAGTTACCAATTAGTAATTATAATAAGTGCAAATACCCAGTCTGTTACAACACGTACATTTAAAGGATGCCGCGCGTGTTGCGGCTTCTGGTGCAAAGTTGAACGTACGATTTCAGAACGTAACTTGCTACAGTTCTTATCTTTTTTTCTCGTAACAGGGAAAAATTTCATCCTCAAATAAACTTACCAGTTATATGATAAACTGAGTTGAAGCCAATTCCAAATCGACCAACTTTTAAAGGGTCATCCTTCTTACTGCTATCCATCAGTCTCTGTAAGTTGTCCCAATCACTTTCCTCAAACAGAGCATTGTTCTGAGCATATAAAGCAGGGCCCTGGAACTGAGAAAGAGTGGGTTTGACAAGCGAGTTCTTTCCGTAAAAGTCTTGACGCGAATCAAGGAGAAAGGACACCTTTGTGGCGCCTGCGTCGTCTGCATTCTGAATGATTTCCTGAAAAGACAACATGACCTGGTTATCAAATAACGACAAGTTACAAAATAAGGACATTTGTGATCCATTATTAAGTCATTTTACCATATTGGGGCAATAGAACGCACAAAATATACCAGAGTATTACAGTATAGAACAGGTCAAGAAATATGGTCAAAAAGCGGAGCAACAAAATGGCCACACTGAACAATCCAAACTTTCAATTATCCGTTTTTTAGGCTTAGCTTTATAAACAACAAGCCTATTAAGCCCATTGTATTTTTTCGGTGACCATAATAACACTTCAACGGTGTGGTTTCTCTTGTGTTTGTCTTATGCCTCATGCGACCGATGTGATGTTCAGATTGAGGCCCAAGGTTGTGTTTCGAAGCCAAATTACAAGAAACTGAAATTATTGTGTAATAATAATCCCTTATTCTGTTGGATGGGTTAACGTATGATACATGTAGACATTTTTCTCATTGTACGCTTTATTCCTTGCCCCCGCAGGGTTGGGAAAAAACTGGCCCGTATTACAAATAAGTTGCATTCATTAAAAATGTATCGCTTTGTTTTGAAACTCCAGTTTTGTTTTCTATATCTATTTCATTGAAGAGAAACAAACTTCAATCCAGTTCTAGACCAACTTGTGTGATCTTTAAATTATTTAGGAAAGAAATTTTGTAGATGTCGTAAAAGAACAGCGAGGTTACATTATGCAAATTGCTGTTCCAAAGTCATGAAATAATCACCAAGTATTATTGGTGAATAAACACTAAGGAGGGTTTGCAAGTTTACAGGAAAAAAAAAAAAACAAAAGCAAAATGAAAGAAACAAGAACAAATGATTTAGATCGATTCTCGCCTTTATGTGATGATTTAGGCAATCACAGACATAAAATTGTTTAATTCTTCTTTCACAGGAAAATAAATTGCTCTTGGTCATAAAAAGTTTTAGTTACTCTTATTGAATTAATTGTTTCGTCATTTCGACCACTACTGCGGAGGGCCATGATTCTTTCTCCTCACACAATGATTTTGAACACTTTATTACTGTTAATGTTTTCCCAGTCCAGGATTGTCCTGTATTCATTTATTCAGTCATCAGAAACGAAGCTTTTCTAATCTTGCACTTTTAAACCGGGCTGACTACATAAGTTCCTTATAGAGAATATCCTCTTGGTTCGTGCTAACTTGATGTAATGTTGAGACAAATATCATAATTCCTACCTTTAAGATTTGTCCTCCA